GGATTACAAGTCACCACCCCGACATCCCCAGCCTCAAACGCATTCACGGAACAGCATGACGCTGACAAACATTCAACTACCAGTTCGGATGCACAACTCGTCCCTGAGGATGGGGAAGCAACCACAGACAGAAACTTCTCATACACCTCAAACAATTTAAGTCATATTGTCCCACCAGAGGCCTCAGCCAGAGAAAACACGACTACCGCAAACAATACTTTCATTCACAAAGATTTTCAACATCGTAAGTTGAATCATAGATTGAATAATCTTCCGGTTTTAACAACTCAAACACAAATGTATAAGTTAATTCAATGCCTTATGCACCTAACCGCCACCTCACCGCCCTCCAGCCCCCTTCCTCAAAAAAGTACCTAAAACAAAGTGAACGTCCAGCTACTGCATAACTGATTTTGTATGAGAATGTTTGAGGGCCTTCATTGGACAGGTTCGAAAATATTTGTAATGCTTTGTTAAATGGGATCAATGCACTGACCAGTTCAAATGTATGTCATTCAAAGTTCCAATCGTTTCATTGGTCCCACAGAACACATGCCAGACTGTTGTTCTCATTCAAAGGTATTGACAATTTGAACTAGGTTCGATGAGATCGAATAGCGGTTGTCCCTCATACGGACGAAGATAAACTTATACTGCAACCAATCAGATGATGTGGTGAAACACTTTTCAAGGTCATGATAAAGAGTTTAGGTGTGATTAGTGGAAATCGTCGTAAAAGCATGGCTGATGGGTAGTCGAGTGTTTTAAACGTATGACCCAGATGAGTCACTATATAGAAATACCAGTGGGCTTGGATTGGCCTTTGTGAGACCCGGAGGAAGCATAGTGCGAATGGGACAAAGGAGCTGTTTAAATGCAAAGCAGTACAGAAGGAGATTTCAGGCGGGCATCATAAAGTGATTAGTGTCTGAGGTGTGCAAACCGTTTACGATTGTCACACCATGATCTCCCGGAGCGGATAAATATGTGGTGATCCCTGCCTACGTCATGACGCCTACCCTGGAGCGGCCCGTTACAGTTTCTGGACACCTTCGATCAGTCGAATTTGAAAGATAACGTCAATGACGCACGTACGCGTCACGGCTTCTGACTAGACGCCATTGGTGGATCGTGCCAGCCAATCCGAGACAGTGCAGACAGAAGCAGAATTATGCAAGCAGTATTACCATCCGATTGGTGGAAGCCTAGATAACCAATGACCTTCTTTTGTACATATTATTTAATCGCCTTCATTTCTTCCAATAAACTAACTACGTACTACTATTTTTGTGGCATTTTCCTCGCGTCTCGTTCACGTGGGATATTGCAAGCTCGTGCCATTGCGGTCCAGTGCTTCCGTAATCCAGTCCGTGAAAGCTGATCCTAGATTCGTGTCCTGTGATTCCCATTGCGTGTTTCGTATTCCGAATTCCGTGATTACTACTACTACTACCACAATAATCACAAAATATCACACTCAAAAAAGTAACACTAGATGGTCTGACTCAAGAACCTCCAATATGTGGAGTTCAGCGTCAATTTCAGCTAGTTCATTGTGTCTGTCAAACCCAGAGTGGAGGAGGGTTGGGCAAGGAATCAGTCGTTGACGGTCAGTCAGCTTCATTCGCTTCGTTCGATCTATTTATGGTCTGTGTATGACCAACCAAAATTTTCGGTGTCATAGAGTTTCACCCAGAATCAATCAAGTCTGTCATTTTGATTGGTCAAAAACCAAACCTAACGGTTACACTCTCTGCAAGATAAAATAAAATCTTCCATTCTGATAACAATGTCTCGAAACTGTATTCCAATTTCCGGGAACAACCGGACCGCAAAAAGTTCATAGTTTTCCATTTTGTTTCAGTCGATTGTTTTGTTTCGTCCGCTCGCTCCCCC